ATTCTCGCTGCCACTCTTCTGTCACACAACACTCCTGACACCTTTCTCCATCCACTCCAACCTGCCTGCACTCGCCTCTTCACCTCTTTCCTACACTCCCCGTCACACTGGACTGTTGACCTAAAATACTTAAACTCCTGCACCTTCTTGACCTCAGCCCCCTGTAACCTCACTTTTCCACTTCCCTTCCTCTCATTCATACACATGTATTCTGTCTTACTATGACTGACTTTCATTCCTCTACTTTCCAGAGCAGACCTCCACCTGCTCTCACTACAGATCACAATATCATCCGCAAACAACAGTGTCCACGGAGATTCCTGTCTGACCTCATCTGTCAACCTGTCCTCACTGTAGCAGTGAGGAAAAGACAAGAGGCAGAGATGAGGATGTTGAGGTTCTCTTTAGGATTGACCAGGATGGACAGGATTAGGAATGAGCACATCAGAGGGATGGCTCAGGTCGGCTGTTTTGGGGATAAGGTCAGAGAGGCCAGATTGAGATGGTTTTGGTATGTGCAAAGGAGGGATAGTGGTTATATTGGTCGAAGGATGTTGGAGATAGAGCTGCCAGGCAAGAGGTCAAGAGGAAGGCCAAAGAGGAGATATATGGATGTGTTAAAAGAGGACATGAAGTTAGTTGGTGTGAGAGTAGAGGATGCTGAAGATAAAGTTAGGTGGAAACAGATGATTTGCTGTTTTCTAGTCTACTTTCAATACTTTTGCATACATGCGCTCAGATTTAAGTGATTTGCCTAAACAGATAAAAAAAATTCCATTCTTGACAATATTGTTGAATCATAAACCTAAGAATTTGTTGCTAATACAACCCTCATTCTTCCTGCAGGTTTTTTGTCTGCACGTTTCACATAACTCACCCTGTACTTGGCACAGCAGTGATGTAATAAGCCTATTCCTTTAAGCCACATAACATTCCATCCTCTCCCCCTCTTCCTCCCTTTGCTTGATCAGGTCAGAGCGAATTGCGCTGTGAGATGAATGGCAGGAGGCTGGAGGATGGACAGGTATTTCAGCCTTCCTGTTCCCAGCTCTGCCACTGCATTGGAGGGGGGGTGACCTGTATACCCCTGTGCAGTGAAGATCTACACAGGCCCACTGATAAGTGTCCCAACCCTCAGCTGGTGCGACTACCAGGTCGCTGCTGCAAAGAGTGGGTGTGTGCTGGCGTGGACAACAGTATTTCCTCACATTCATCAGCAGGTAATGAGGCTCATGACCTAGAAGCCAAAGCAAAGATGGCTGGAAACGCATGTAAACATAGTTTGTGGTTATAGATTATCAGAAAAATAACTGCAGGCTGACAGGACTTGTATGAAAGTAAATGCAGAGAACATTGCTACTTTGAAGACTGCAGAGACATTGTCACCTCACATCTGCCAGGAATTCATCAAACAGACTGAAGCATTTGGATGATTTTCAGCTATTTCCTGAGAGACTGCCATAAATTCAGGTCAGCAGGTGTTTGGACACATGGAGCCACAGTCAGGATTGTGATGAACTAAATAGATATAAATACAAAAGAGTTGTCTGGGCAATCAAACATCTGTCAGAAACATCTGTGAGCACTATTTTTAGCCAACTGACCTTGCCCAACAAGCAGTTTACAACATTTCAAACTGCATATGTGTTGAATTTTCTGATTCAAGAGCACTCATCACTGCCTTTCATTTCAAACATTTTTCAGCTTGATTTACACAGCAAATATTTATCTCTCCACTACTTATTTCCAGCCGAGCAGGAGCACCAGGACTACAGAGGTGGGCCATCCGGACTGATGTTTGGCCCGAGCTCCAACTGTATCAAGTGGACTTCAGACTGGAGCCCCTGCTCCTACAGCTGTGGCCCAGGTGTCTCCACCCGCACCACCAACAGGAACTGGGCTTGTCGCCTTCAGACTGAGACCAGACTGTGCCAGGTCAGACCATGCTACACTCTGCTGCCTGGGATTCAAATGCTGCAGCCGGTCAGTGAAGAAACAACACACAGTAATCAATTCCATTGTTAACACATGAAGTTCCACCCAACAATATACAGGGACCAGACAGATATATGTTTTTTGTATATCATGAACAAATACTTTAGGTGATGTACTGCATTGGCATCCTCATGGATTTACACTGAACAAAATAATAAATGCAGCAAAAGAGTTGTCTGGGCAATCAAACATCTGTCTGAAAACCAGTCAGTATCTGGTGTGACCACCATTTGCCTCACACAGTGCAGCACATCTCCTTCACATAGAGTTGATCAGGTTGTTGATTGTGGCCTGTTGAATGTTGGTCCACTCCTTTTCAATGGCTGTGCGAAGTTGCTGGATATTGGCAAGAACTGGAACACACTGTCGTATACACCGGTCTAGAGCATCCCAAACATGCTCAATGGGTGACATGTCTGGTGAGTATGCTGGCCATGCAAGAACTGGGATGTTTTCAGCTTCCAGGAATTGCGTACAGATCCTTGCGACATGGGGTTGTGCATTATCTGTCATGGTCGGGTGTCCCTCACCAGGGGGTGAGAGAGAGAGAGAATAAGGACTCAGGGTGCAAACTCAAGTGCTAGTGAGAGTGTGTTTTTATTGCTGTATTATACAGTGAAAAGGACAAAGTCAATGGGTTAACGAGGTCCAAACCAGGGTTGAGTAATGGAGGCTGAGAAGAACAGGACAGGCAGGTGAGTAGACAGGCGAGTGGCAGGAACCAGGATGACAGGTGAGTAGACAGATGAGCGGCAGGAACCAGGAGGATTAGCGAATGCTGTCAGGGAAGCAGAGTAGCATCAATCTCACCGTGTCAGTGTCAATGATTTGGCGAGGATGGAGCATCTGCCAGCACGTTAAATAGGTTCTGCTTAATCAGCGGGAATGAGCCTCCGCTGTGCACCACACCCAGCAAGTTGCTGATTGAGGTGATGCGCCTCAGCTGTGTTGCTGAGCCTGCAGAATGAGAGAATGGGAGAGAGAAAGGGGAAGAGAGGCAGGTCGTGTTGAGTGGACCTGACATTATCATGATGGTTGTGGATGAATGGCACAACAATGGGCTTCAGGATCTCGTCACGGTGGAGATGGCTTATGGTAGAGAAATGAACATTCAATTCACGGGCAACAGCTCTGGTGGACATTCCTGCAGTCAGCATGCCAATTGCACGCTCCCTCAAAACTTGCATCATCTGTGGCATTGTGCTGTGTGATAAAACTGCACATTTTAGAGTGGCCTTTTATTGTGTCCAGCCTAAGGCACACCTGTGCAATAATCATACTGTCTAATCAGCATCTTGATATGCCACACCTGTGAGGTGGATGGATTATCTCAGCAAAGGAGAAGTGCTCACTAACACAGATTTTGACATATTTTTGAACAATATTTGAGAGAAATAGGCCTTTTGTGTACATAGAAAAAGTCAAAGATCTTTGAGTTCAGCTCATGAAAAATGTGGGCAAACACAAAAGTACTGCATTTATAATTTTGTTCAGTGTATTTTGAGCTATATGTAACTCAAAAATGTCCATTATCAATAAAAACACTGTAAACTAAATGTTCATATTTGTGTGACACACCGTCTATAAAATAACAATAGCTAGCAAAATAATTCAGTCAGTTATCAAACTTGTCATAGCAGGAAAAGCAGAGGTGGAACTGATAACATTGTTGTCCTGTTCCATTTAAGTGTTTCAGTAAGCTATGCTAGCAAACCAGTAGAGACAACAGCATGGCCCTGGAACTGGAGCACCCAAACAGAGCAATGATTCATGTTCTTCATTGTACCAGTGCTACTTAAAATGCTATAATGTGTACAGCTGCATTCCCCACTGGCTGATTGGCATGGCTTATTACTGGGACACTTGATAGGTTTGCTAACAGACATTCCCTCCCTAAGAACATACCTTAAGAACATTTTTTCCATTCAGGACTTAAAGTAGTGACTTAAAGTTGAGACAATGTTTGTCAAGAAACAAAAAACTAGCCATGTGTTTTTTATTGCAATGGATCCTGGATGATGAGAAGTAAGATGCAAGTGATGTTAGGCTGTCAGAGGAGCTAAAATTTCTTTTAGGTTAATTAAGAAAACAACCATGTGGGTATACACTCTCTCAAATAAACCTGAAAACAGACCCTTCTCTTTTTTGTCAGTGTTTCATTTTAGTGAATTACATGACTAACCTCAATCTACTTCAAAACTTAAACATGAAATGCAAACACTGAAAAAGATATTTACAGTATTTCTAACTCTTTCCTGCTCATAATGAAAGGCTAAGGGTACTGTAATTTCTGAGGCAAACAATACCATACCAGAGGTTACTCATGCTGTAGATTAGTCCACTAATGTTTAATGTAAGCATTAGATGGGATCCTACTCATTGCAACAACCTGCTATAAGTGAAAACACCACCACACAAAAAGTAGAAACTTCATCAGTCTTTTATTGAAGCTTGAAAAAATCAAAGTCCAACTAAAGCCAAGATGTAAATATGCTGTATCAAGTCAGCTTGTTGCAGAGGTGATACTACATTTGTCACTGAGGTACAGTAGACACTTTCATCCTCAGTAGGAAGGAATTTAACAAAATGAATACCATTTTAAAATGATTGTTATTCATTCATTTATTTTGTGACAGGTTTGCATTCAGTTTTACTATCTTCTGTGAAACATGGTTTAGCAGTGGACTAAAATTAAAATTGGCTTGTCCAGAAGGCTAATAACATCACCTGCACTCACCATGAAACATACAAGAAACAATATTGTTCTCGGGATTAGTACTTGGCTGTTACATGACAAACGGCACTGAATTAACTCTAAAGGAAGTGACTGCACATCACTAGACAGGCAGCAAGTACATTACTATTTTGCCTGCCACTCTGTATTTCAGGGGTTGGGGGTGTGTGAGAGCAGCTACAGTTCACCAATCTCTGTTCAGCTTGAGCACCAAGGCTGCTGGAGCACCAGAGCCTACCGTATCAGGTTCTGTGCCTTGACCTGTCCGGTGGGACACTGCTGTAGCCCCTCCCACACCAGGACTGTACAGATGGTTTTCCGTTGCCCCCAGGGCAGGCTCATCCAGCAGCAGGTGATGATGATTGAGTCCTGTTTCTGCAGCACCTCCACCTGCCGCCAGTCCCCATCCACAGCTACCTAGAGCATCCTGCCCTGGTTGTGAGGTGCATCCAGCTATAAGAAGGCAGGTCCTGTCTTTGAGAGGATAACAGTGATCAATTACTAGTTGAGTTAGTGTTTCAAAATTATGGAAATTCCAAAAACAGCATGTGAAACTTGACATTCAAAAATATCTGTGTAAATTTGAGAATGTTTCCACATGTACAAATACAGTTTTATAAATGTGCACTGACATTTGAAAGTATAAATGTATTAAAGATTTACACAGTAATCTGTATCCAGATTTATAAACAAATCAAAGGTAACATTGTACCCCATATTACTCTGTTTCCTAAGGTCCTACAAATTGTCATCTGTACATCATACAGTATCTTATTATTTGAATACTGTCCACTCATTTAGATTTGTATTGCATACATCTGCTCCTGCACTGGAGATAGGTAGCACAATTCTTAAGTGCCTGTCATTATCTGAGAAAAAACACGGACTCAGTGACTATACTGTAGCACTTATAGGTTCCTGAATAGACATTTTGACATCTGGATTTGGCATCAGGGCTCACAAAATAACAAAAAACCACCCACCTCTGCAGTTCTCTACAGAGAACATTTAGTGTCTTTTAGCTCATTGATTTTGGTTTTATCACTCAAAACTTTATTGCCAAGTAATATTAAAGCACAAGGAATTTGACTTTACTCTTGGTTTAGCCTCAGTGCTCCTCCAACCTTGTTTCATTCAGCAGCAGCCAAAGAAAAAGAAATAAACCAACTGTAGACTGACAAAGCAAATAGCATTTAGGAGCTAAAAAGCCAAATATATCTCTGGAGTTGGAGACCAAAAGAGTAAATATAGGACTTACTGTATATTTATCAGACTGACTGCTGAATATAATGTCACAACAACATTATAGGGTAAAATTATATATCAGTACTATATTTATGTATTGTTCCATCACCCTCAAATGGTCAGACTCCACCAAAACAGAGAAATACATCAAGCAAACAAAGCTAAAACTCATGATTTATCATCCATTACATCAATCCTACTGAGTGCGCCAGTTCCTCTGTGCACTTTTTATTTTCTGTGGATTGATTATACTGTACTGGACATTAGTCATGGTTTTGGTATGTAGTTTTCCCTTTTCCAAGGTGTTCTGTGGGCTCCTCTGGTCTTCTTGTACACCAAGCACTTCCAATGCAGGAGTCAACATGTGCTCAGTGTAGAAACCAGCACAAGCTCCTTTTGAATCAGTGTAAATCTGAGTTATCAAAGGTTGGATTTACAGATAACGGCACACTCTTTTGAGAAGTGACATGGAAATGGAACAATATGAAACTAGATCAACTTATTACACAAAATATATTTTTAATCAGAGAAATAAACATTACTTGGTGCACTTTACCAAATCTGGGCATGTACTAACCGTATTCATTTGCAAATGTTCTGATGCATTTTTTTATTTTCAAAAACTCCTAAATATAGGAATTATCTTTATTTAAATGTCAATATGCAATCCACTTTGTTGTAAAAATGATTACATAATTATCACACAATTGAGTGTTTGACAAGAGGTCCTGTGTGTGAGCTTTTCAACACACAGAGCCAGTGAAAGTCACTTTCACATTTTGACTAAATCCGTATCATTCAAGGTTGATTTTTACAGAAGGAAGCTGCAGGTGCAGCCTATTGTGGAATTATGAAAGTGATTAACCATAATAGATCCTTTAACCTGTTTTTTCTACATGTTTGTGACGTTGAATGGTTATTTTCCTCTGTTTCCAAGCATGTGTGTATGGTTCCTCATCTTTTATAATGGTCCTCAGCAGGGAAGTGGGCGGGCATTTTCTTGGTTTCACATTCACTTCAGATGTTGCATGACGCACAAATACTCCTCAGATGAGATGTTTGGTCTGAACGAAACGGCCCCTGGCTGCTGTTTTATTTTTGTGAATGACTTCGATTTGAGTGGAAAAGGAGATTTAAAGCAGCGGAAACCCAAGAGATGTCTGGAAACTTCACGCAGGCACCCTGTGAGGCCATCAGCCTGAATTTTACGCACAGCTTTCTGCCGCCCGTGTTCGTCACTGTGTTTGTGGTCGGGACGCTGTCCAACATGTGGGGGCTGAGAAGCGTGTGCACCAGCTGGAACAACATCGGAAACATCAACATCTTCATGCTCAACCTAGGGGTTGCGGACATGCTGTACCTGTTCACCCTGCCGTTCCTCGTGCACTATTACGCGCACAACAGCCAATGGCGGTTCGGCCAGACTTTCTGCAAGGTGACACGGTTCTGCTTCAACCTCAACCTTTACGGTAGCATCGGCTTCCTCACCTGCATCAGCATCTACAGGTACCTGGGCATCGTCCACCCAATGCGAGTGATGGGGAAAATCAGCAGCCGACACTCCCTGGCCATAAGCACCCTGGTCTGGCTTTTGGTCATTATTCAGATCCTCCCTGATATGTTTTTTGACAAAAATGATTTAAAGTCACCAGACTCGTGTTTCGACACCACCTCGAACGACCTGATTAGCAGCTACCTCCCTTACAGCGTCATCTGGACCGTGACAGGGTTCGGCTTACCACTGGTTATCATTTTGGTCTGTTATGGACACGTTGTAGTGGTTCTTATCAAAAATGCCAACGTCAATCCTTTGTTAAAACAGCGGTGCTTGAAACTAGTCGTGATTTTAGTGGTACTATTCGCCATTTGTTTTATCCCCTACCACGTGTTTCGAAATGTTAATCTGAAAACCAGAATTTTGAAACAGACTGGGATTTGTTACACTAGTTTCCGTGACATCTACATAGCGCATCAGGTTGGCAGATGCCTAGCATGTCTGAACAGCGCGATAAACCCACTGATTTATATAGTTGGGAATGATGATTTCCTTATGAAGCTTCATGCCTTCAGCCAGCGGGCCCGGCAGTCTCTCGCCGACCTGAAAGACACAGTCCTTTACCGCAAACCGACAGAGGCGGCTCCGAACTCGCTGTCAGAAACGAATGACAGCTTGGACATGATGACAGGATAAGAGCACAGTGCAAATCATGCAGCGCAAGAACTTCCACTTTTCCTGTTTTGGGGGGTGGGGGGCTACATGAAACCGAGTCTTTAACAGGGGAAACACATCTCAAAGGTGGAATACTTTTCGACACAAGACCGGAACTGAAGTCATGACCGATGAGACCGATGACTGCAGACCGGAACTGAAGTCATGACCGATGACTGGGAAGCGTGTTATCAGGCATTGTCATCAGTCATCACACGTTCACTGCTTGAAAAGTTTCTCTGAAACTGAACTGAACATTATTACAAAGACACCACTTGCTATTTACAATAGAAGCTAATTATATCTCATTTATTGCAAATTGAGATGCTGTTCACAATGTACATGTGCTGCAAAGCTGATGTCCTACGATTGCCTTTCTGCTGCAGTCTACAGTGTATTGTGCTTAGTTTTTGGTTAGCAAGATAATGCACTAGCCTACCTTTGCAGTGTTACAGGCGTTTTATATACTTGGTAATGGTTAGCATTTTCCACATTTATGTAACTAAGACTCATTAAAGGATGTTTGAACAGAGGCACTTATTTCATTTATGTGTCAGTGTCCAGACCACAGCCCTTATATCACAAGCTTGTTTAGACAAACCAGACTTGGATTTAATAAGAGGAACTGTGGCAGTTATGTAGGCTGAGTACTGGGATATACAGTCTGGAAAAGTGGTGGAAGAAACTGCAGTAAAAGTACAAATGCCATGTTGTAAAAATGTTCATTACAAGTAAAAGTCCAATATTATTAAAATGTTTACTGAAATAAAAGTAAAGAAGTATTACCAGACAAATATACTCACATGTCACAGTTTAGAGTACTGATTATGTAGAATGCTTCCTGTCACAATGACATGACAGCACTTTGTTTTGCTACATGTGTTTGTCTGACTGTCTAAGCCATTTTTAGTTCAAGTATGGATGTTTTGCAGATCTTCTTCGGGGTTTTGCAACAGATGATGTGGCCCCAACAAAGTGCAGATCTCCACAGAATGTAGCCAGTCTAGGATTATATAAGACAGAGAGAAATTTTGACAACAGCAGCTGAGACATCTTACATGCATACATAGCTATCTAATGAATGAATGAATGAGAGTAGATTAGATCTGTCTTTTTTCCATATAAATAAACAGTTATTGAAGATGCAGATGCAGGACTGCAGAGGAGAAAGTTGCATTCTGTGGTTGCTCAACTGTGAGGAGATATTTATCTGCACTGTGCTAAATTTACAGACAACTGAGAGAAAGTCATGAAACTAGAGCTGCTGTCTGTGCTGGTCTCTCTCTGGTTATAGATTGTCAGCAAAATATGGTGGTAGCCATACGGTACTCTGCCATTTTTAAAATCTAGTTTGGTAACATCGTTCCATACTGACTGTGATTTAAAGTGTAACTTCATTACATGAAGCAATAAAAATAGCGGTTCCTCCTGGTACTGAAATGTAGTTAAAGTGAAGGAAAACAAGACTTTTGAGAACAAGGGAGAAAGGGAGGTGACAGTGATGCAGTGGGTAGAGCAGTCGTCTCCCAACCAGAAGGTTGAAGGTTCGGATCTTGTTGTCAGCAGTCCATGTGTCAAAGTGGACCCCACTGAACCCTACTGTTGCCCCTGACGGTTAGAGCCATTGGTTAAGTTGGCACCACAGATGGCTGCCATTGGTTCTGTACCAGAAACAAATTCCTTGTGTGTAACATACGTGGCCAATAAAGGTGATTATCGTTATAATTAAGCATTTTAGAGGAAAGGAGAAATAAATTACATTGGAAGTATTTTTGTAAATACTTGGTACCTAGATATTACAGTACTGAGAAAAAAAATGATGTTTAGCAAAAATGATGTAACAACACTGGCATTCTACAGGACATATAAAGTAAATGCACTATGAAATATTTTACAGTTGTATTAAACACACCCATGATATGCCACCAAACAGCTGGAGCACATTAACATGAAAATGAGATGCTCATCACTGACCTGTGGATCTGTGTTTTGAGAAAGTACCAGTAGGACCTGGTAAGGAGTTTATTGGTTGGTTCATATTTTGCTGGCTGTATTTTGAAGTTATTTCTAAAAAAAAATTTTGCAACAAGTTTTAAATGGTTACTGGAAAGGGTAGGCCAACTGCAAACATGCAGGCACAGCTCAGTGCTTCAACCACTGCAGCCACAAGAGCTGATATTTGGCAACAACACTGAGCCTTACAGCTGTCAGAATAAAGAACTAGAGAAAATGGAAAGCATCTAATATTGACACAGTCCTGTGTCCCACTGAGAGAATGTTTGGATAAATACATGTGGGCTGTTTTGATAAAGTGTGTGTTCCTAAGATCAGAGTTCATTTATTTTTAAGGATTCTTTGAAACTGAAGTGTTAATGAAGCAAAGTATCCTGTCCTCGTCATTTCTACTGAAGCAGCACAATGAAGCAGGAAGTCCAAACCAAGGACATGGAGCTGAGGTCTACGCCCTGTGAGGATTTCACTCAGTGACTTAATACATGACCTGCTCTGCCCCAGCAGCCACCATGAGAGTCCCAGTCTTCTTAGGAAAAACTGATTCACAAATCAGACCTGGATCATGCTGTAAACAGGAACACATTATACAATAAGGATATCCTTTCTGTGTCTAACATTCCCCTGACCCATTAAAGTGCCATGGGTTCTGATGACATTCCATCCGTCCATGAGCAGCATCCCAACACAAACGTGTGTTATCTCTGCAGATAAATATTAACATCTCACTGATTTTGCCTCCCACTTATTCTCTGATTCTGTAAACACAGTCTGGTGAGAAAAACACAGAGTGGTTTGATGAATGTATATAAACACTTAGAGTCCAGCCAGAGATTATCCAGCAATGCCAATCAGTCAAAACACAGTTTGTAAAATCAGACATGTTGCCCTTTTAACCTCATTCACTATATTCTGCTTCTGCACATTTCCTCTGTTGTCTTTTGGAAGTTCAAGTTCTAGCTAGCAATGTTGAACAGTGGTACTGCAGCCCAGTCACCAGAGAAGAATATCAGTGTTGTTTTCTACTCTCTATGCACAAAGTAACTACATCATGGGTAAAGCTAGGGAAAGCACAGCATCATCCTCTAATCCTCCAATCGTTGTGGTAAACCTGGTTAGGGTTAGGTATCTAAAACACTACACTCAGGTCAGAGAAAGAACTGGTTATGTTTAGAAAAAAACAACAAAAACAAACAAATGTTAATTGCAGATCTGCGCTGTGGCACAAACTCAGGTTTGCTTCACCAGGGAATGACCATGGTCATGGCTAAAAGAAACCAACACTCACTGACTGTGGGTAAATGGCAGCAATTATATATCATCCAAAGTGGTTTACAGTGTACTTCTCAGTTAGCCACAGACAAACATGCTACCAAGCAAACTGTTGCCATGCTGATGGCCTGCACCAGGAGACTTTGTGGAATCAGTGCTCATCAATGATTAGAGGTCCAGTCTCCAGTATCACTGCTGACTCCCTACCAGTGAAAACATGCAATGAACAGAGTCATCCAATCCCCCTGACCTGGTCCTCCTGCAAACCTTTTGGGTTTAAAATATTCTTAACTTACCTCCTTCTTTGTTCCTTCTTTGTTCACAATTGAGCAAGCACTTGGCGACAGTGGGGAGGAAAAACTCCCTTTAATCGAAGAAACCTCCGACAGACACCAGCTCTTGGTGGGCGGCCTTCTGCCTCGACTGGTTGGGGTGAGTGGATAGAGGAGAGAGAAAGAAAAGAAAAGCAACAAGACATGACAAACACAACAATAAACAATCAAACACTGGTCAGGTTGATGAAGCCGGTGACTGCTCATCAGAAATGTAAAGCTCCAGAGCCACGGTTACCTGCAGAAAAGTACAGGGAGGGAGAGAGAGGAAACACTACGGGAGAGAGGAGACACAGTTAGTGTCACGTAATGGTGGCATATAGATGCATAGAGAGCAGATGAGAGGAGAGGAGAAGGAAGGGAAGGGGAGGGGAGGAGAGAAACTCAGAGCATCATGGGCACCCCCAGCAGCCTAGGCCAGTTTTCCAGCATCACTTTGAGACAAGGTGCTCCTGATTTTTGAGATATTGTGCAGGTGAAAGGCAGATGTCTTTGAGCAGCCTGGTCAGTATGGGGTCTAAGAGACATGTTGATGATTTAGATTTGATTTGATTTGATTTGATTTATTCTTTCAAACATGTAGAAACAGAAGATATCAACACACACATAATTACACAAATCCAACCAATGCTAATCCAGAATCAGTTTGCTTATACCTAGTACATGTTTAAATGGAGTAGGAAGAAGTCAGACTTATCATGTCCTACCCCATAACATCATCTTATACAAAAAATTTCATGCATCATTGGCTGCAAGCAGTATCTCTACATAGGTAATTCTCTTCTTCACCAGACAAGTAATATACAGAAAATTTAAAACAGAGTGTTTCATTCATGCATTCTTGATTAAATCTCTTATTCTTGCATATATCTTGAATGACACATACTTTTATATTTATATTTAAACTCCTCAATTCTAGTACTGTTTTTCATGTCCACACTTAAATTATTCCATAATTTGACCCCACTTATAGAAATACAAAATCTTTTTTTGGTTGTACGTATAGCATGAACTTTTAGATTTAACTGACCCCTTAAATTATATCC